TTGCAGTTATAATGGTAAATAAAGACTAGCTTGCTAACAATTACAATCCAGTAAAGCATCCATTCCAGATTTATATCGGTTAATAGGATCTAAGGGCTACTTTCATGAATTAAGTTAAAATAAAATAAGATTTTTTTGTATCCTTTGTTTTGTAAAAATTAAGAAAATACTTTGTGTGGACTGAGGTTGAGATTCAGCCTACAGTAATAGATAATTCTGCTAGAAGATTAAATATACTGTTCTTCTAGATAATGTCCAGGCTGTTGGCAGTATTTTGCTGGTGATTGTTTCCTACCTATAATTGCTACATTTGACACTATTCCAAAGTAAGTTGAGCTTAACTTACTTTTGGAATAGTGTCAAATGTAGCAATTATAGGTAGGAAACAATCACCAGCAAAAAGGACAGGTGGAAAATAAATGCTATCAATATTCAATAGTTAATGATAAATTTATTAACCAATGGTTAATAAAAAAAAAAAAAATTATTATATATATATATATATATATATATATATATATAATTTATTAAAAAACTCATCTTGCAGTTGTCTTATCAAGTGATGGTGTTGAATCAACACCATCACTTGATAAGACAACAGAAAATTGAAACAAAATGGCTATTTTTGTAGTGGTTTTATAACATATTTATGTTATAATTTTTTAATAAATAAATTATATTTGCTCTACTCTGTATTGAGCACTCTTTTTAAGAATAGTATTTTTTGGTTATTGGAATTTATTCTGTATACACCAGTTCTATACTTGGGTATATATATATATATATATATATATATATATATATATATATATATATATATATATGTGTGTGTGTGTGTGTGTGATGTATAAAAGTTATATAATAAAAATGAAAAAGTGGAATTATGTAAAAATTAATATAAAAATTATTTATATTAAAAAATGATAATATTAAAACTGTATAAAAATTAAGAAAATAAGGAAGTTATTAAATGAAGCCAGCTGGTTTCTAAAAAATATTAATAAAAAACCACCAAAAGGAAGCTAGCCTGTTCATAGTTAACTTTGTCTACTCTGGTCCCAACAGAATCTCAACAGTGTGATCACACCCCTGGAGATTTAGTTGGGGACGAACCCCTGCCAGAACCAGTTTTTGAACACAAAACTTGCCACTTTTGACCCTCTTTAACACCAAGTGGACTTCACCCTCTGTGATCTCGTACTCACAGTCAGCTGTTTCAGTTGAGGAAAGCCGGCTAAATAGCTGTGAAAATGTTCATTGCACAGACCAGACTCCTTGGTAAATCACTTCTGGAAATACTGTTGAAATGCCTCGCATATGTTGTTGGTCAACAGCAGGTGGCATCCATCTGGGGCATCGAGCTTATGAATGTAACAATTGAATCCTCAGTGTATTTCCTCCTTCTGTGCCCATATTCATGGCTTCATTAGATACCTTGTTTAGCCTATGTTTAACTACCTGACTCTGGTAGTGTTCACAAGGTGATCACTCCAGAGCCTGCCTAGTTAGGCCTATCTCTAGGGATTCCCACCTAGCCTCCAGCTGGGCCAGACTCTCTCTGCCTTCACCTTCTTAGCCTTATCTATAGCGAGTCATTGGCTAAGGTCAGTAGTTAAAGACCGAAACCTATCCTTAAGCTTGTCCTACCACTTATTCCTAATGACTGCCCATCTACTAACTCCCACTACACAAAACTAGTCAGCTGTTGCCAGAAGTCTCACCTGTCCAGTAAGGAGGAGTTGAACTTCCAGTGTCGAGCCAGTCGAGGACATCTGTGCGCAAACATATTTATGGTCTGAATAGCCTAACCAGTGGAATGTGGGGCAATCTAGCAGATCTTGATCAACCCTTCTCACTAACATTCTATCCAGCTAGCTGACCACCTGGATAGATGGCCACTTAAGAGCCCATGTCCACATCTCCACCCCAGGTGATTGCCCCAGGATCTATCAATAAGACCAAACATGCCAATCAGATTGACCAGGCTACAATCACTCACCTTCCTGCTAGCTCCCTGCCCTCAATGTAACTTGGGATTCAGGATGGCATTTGAGTCCCCATTACAATTAGGTGCACTGGATCCACCTGGAACAGCCCCAGCTGATTGAAAAAAGAAACATGATCTATTTGGTCATTGGGTGCATACTCTGCAACGATACAAAATGAACTCCTTTTCATTTCAACCAGCCCCCTGCATTGACATGGACACAGTCCACCCTCGTGCCTAGAGTATGCTTCACCAGCAGGAAAACACCTCTGGCCTGCAAGTCCCTGTATGCGGAATAGACAACAAAGTCACTTGACAACACATGAGCATCAACATTGCAAACAGCTTCCTCAACTGTAGCCAGTTCCACACCAAATGACAAGAGGTCACAAAGCAGACAGGCAGTCTTACCCCAATCTCTCAAGACATTCACATTTAAGCATTCAGATATACTTTTAGACAACAAACTGCCTTAGGCTCCCAGAGCCCATGTTGGATGTAATCCATCTGTCCACAGGAATCCTGTTGATATCTGTAGGGAACATTAGCTTTAGTGCCCTATATAATGAGGTGTGGAGCAAAACTGAGGCCCTCCCAGAATATTTTTTCCAGTTTCTTCAGTTCGAGTGACTGAACTTGAGCCATCCTGATGTTGGGGAATGAGTTCTTGGCGGTAGCCATAAATCCCAAACTTTCAATTTGCTGCCAGAGTTCCTTATTAGGGTGATGACTCCCAGAGCTTCTAGGAATTCCTTTCATCTACAGAGGTAAACTTGAATAAAGGCCTCATCAGGGCCTTCCTCTGGGAAGAAAAGTCCTTCTTGAAGGCATGCTGTCAATAGCATAAATGGCATCCCCTTGAAGAATGGAGCATACATTTTTGATTTTTGGAATGGGTTGTAGGAGGGGAGGAAGATAGAGCCCTAACAGTGGAAGTGGGGTGGCTCTTAGCCTTAACTTTGTTGAGGGCATCTTTTCTGGCTGGCAAAACAGAGGCAGATTGAGACTTGGCATGTTCCATAGCTTGTTCCACCCTGCTTTCTCCGACTTTCTTCTCTCTTTTGCAACTCCTTTCTTCTTCTTCTTCATCATCCTCCTCCTCCTCCCTCTTTTCATGGAAGAGGACTGAGGTGGAGGCATTTACTCCACCCCCATACCAGAGTCCACCTGCACCTCCTGCTGTGGCTGTTGTTTTTATTGTTGCTGATGCATTTGTCACTGTTGCCATTTTTGATGCTGTTGTGACTTCTGCTGCTGCTGCTGTTGTCACTGCTTTGGTTGATGTTGCTGCTCTTTCTTCCTCAGTGAAAAGAGGTGTTGCCACCTTTAGTCCTCTTCTCACAACCTCCTTGCAATCACTGAGGTCTTTGGGCACTTTGCCAGACTTTTCCATCCTCACTGCTTCTATTGGTGAGTTTGGCTTAAGTTTCTTCCCAGGACAGGCCTTATGTGCACCACAGAACCAGCAGTGGGGTTGTTGGCTTTCTACGATTAGCAGTATTTTCTGGTCCTGACATGCCAGTGTGTCAGAAGTGTCCAAAAAACTTTTGTCACCTGAAGGACAAAATCCCCAGTGGCAATGCCCACTTTGCTTATTACAGGGGAGACATCTCTGACCTATCCAAATTTTGAAAAGTAGGCACCCAGCTGGTCCTTGGTAATACACCCCATGTACAGTTACTATTGTCTTTTGGGTGCCTATATACTCCATCTGAAGATGAACAGTCCTTGTGGTCAAAATGTTGCTGGCCAGCTGCCTGGCCTCTTCTTTTTCTAGCAGGACATCCTACATAGCATTTGATCTTTTGGCAAGGATTTTTGGTCCTATTTCCAGGCTTTTAAGTGTCTCCTCCATTGTGTCCCTGCTGACTCCAATTCATTTCCAGGTTTTTATGTCCATGCTCAATAGGAAATATTTCCTGTTGTTGGACATAGTAGTCTGCATCTTTTAATGACCAATCTAAGTTTTGGGGTGTGGAGGTTGTTCCCCCTGTTCCTCTGATGGATGGGCAGAACTTTCCATCATGGTGGTTGGGGCCCCACTGCAGCAAACACAATATATAGTTTACAGTCAGATTTTCCAAGAAAACTAAAACTTGTGATAAACCAAAAAAGGTTTGACATGTAAACTAAAATAAAAAAAATTACAATAGTAAGTAAAAACAGGCTTTTTTATATCCTGGATCAGTTTTACAACAATCGCTGGTTAGGCTTTTACTTCTGGCTGTTTTTAAAAAATGTGGGAGTTCCGACAGGATACGAGAATATCAGAAGTTACAAACAGTTAAATGATTATTAACTGTTTAAAAGTTTTTTTAATAATAAATCTTTCTTAATGATATTTGTTGTACAAAAATGTACAAATGTGGCACAAGGCCAAAATGGGAGATGGAAGAGGCTTGTCTTCATCTGTTTTATAATTAAACTTAGCTAGCTACAATCACTGACCCAAACATACCACAATAATCCTTACAACAAAAGAACACATTCTTACTTACCATTCTTACTACAGACACCATAATACTTCAGAGATTCTATGAAGTCCTAACTAGTCCCCAATTACAATTTGTCTGTTGGGAATAAAATAACAACTTAAAATAAAATGAAACCCCAATGAATATTTGCAATATGTACAAAACTATATACAAGAAACTAAGCAAAATGGTGTTTAGTAAATACTCAACAATCCTTAATTGTGACAGAGGCATTAATAAACTGGAGTTTGTCTTCAGTTATTCTATTTTAAGTCTCCCAAGTCATTAATATAGCCTGACGCAAGATTACAGGTGTAAGATACCTGATCAGATAAGGACTGCAGTTTCATTATGTTGGAAGACACCAACTTCGACACAGCACCTGCCACTGCACCACTGTAGATGATGGATATCGTTCCAATTAGAATTCTTGATTCTATTTTGAAATTACCCGGTTTGGTTCCAGGTCACGTGTCTCACGGACCGGATATCGGGATTTCATTCAAATCGAGGCTGTCGACACGGTGCTGGTTGACAACATGGCAGCGAGTGCCGGCTTCAGTTCTCTCCGTTGGAGTTACTTACACCATGCCAACTTATGTATATTGGTCCTGCTGAGTTTTTCTGCTGTCAACGCGTATATTGAAGGCTTGTATTGTGGTAATGAGAACTGCTACGACTGTAAGTCTCAATTTATTTATATTTAGCACTGTTGTTATACACTCGATCTCTGGTAGTCAAGTGTATGAGGAAAAGCTTTTAGTTTTCTCCCTTCAATTTAGAAGACTTATTGTTTTTGAAAGGACCAAAGTAACTTAGTTTTATTCTTTTCATAAGTGTCGTTCATTATGGTTATACTTTTTAAGTTTTTTCACATTCTTTGTATGCGTGCAAATGTAATCGCGAAGTAGTCCACGACTATCGAAATGTTCTTTTTTTTTTTCATCCTGTTTGTGTGTGTGTCACTGTAGTGTACTGTACACGTTGGTGAGATTTGTTTTTTTGTTTAAGTAAAATATTAAAATAATACAAAGAACTTAATATAGTAATTACCGATATTTAAATAAATATATAATGCTTGGTTCACCCGTTTGATTTGTGGGTGGAGACAAACGTGTGATACGTTGTTGATAAGCAAATGATAACAAAAACAATCTCCTAAATCGTCAACTGATTTACCGATCCAAATTCTTGTTACTCATTTATTAAAAAATCCAATAATATATAGAAATGAAAAGCTTGAAAAAAAATAGGAAAAAAACACCAAAAAGATCAGTGACGCCTTGTGTCTAAAAGTTAAAACGTAGACATTTAAACTTCTGCTTCGTGTTTGTCAAACATTTGACATGTGGTATTTTTCTTTCTTTTCTTACAATAAGTCAGATGGAAGTCCTTTTCGATTTAAAAACACGCCCAGACAGCACTATTTCATTTTACTTTCAAGTTAAAATTTTTAACCAGTATTTTTTATTTTGTTGTTTTTTATTCATGTTTAATGGAAAATTGTATAATAATAATTCTGACATTCGTAAAAATAAAAAATATATTTTTTTTAAATTTTAATATTGTTAGTTAAAAAGAAAGGTAAACACTTCAAATAATTTAATCAATGAGTTAGTAGTTGTAAAATGATTTTCAATTAAAAAAGAAACCCCGAGTTGAAACTTTTTTTTTTAAGTTTTGATCCCATATTTTTTCTTGCTTTCCAAAAAGAAATAATGTTAAAATATTTTTTTCAATGTAAAATTAATTTTATCTCAACAAGACAAATTCTGTCAATTGTTTGAAAGTTTTTAATTTTATGGAATGGAAACTATTTAAAATATTTTTCTTAAACTGAAAGTAAAGTAAAAACAAAAAAAAAGACCATCTTTTCTAAAGAAAAAGATAGAGAAAAAAATTGTCAGAAACTGATTCCAGAGCAAACAGCTGTTTTAATCATCCCATTTTTTCTTAAATTTGTTTGAATGATAATGTTCCATTTGAATTCTTACAATGAATAAAATAACTTCAGTTCAAATTTATTCCTCCTGTTCGTTTAAAAAATAAGCTTTTAAGTTATTAGTAATCAAAATTTTTATTTGTATTATTCTCTCTAGTAATGTCAATCTTACAGATTTCAAATAGGATTGCACTACTACTTTGTGGCAGTTTTACTTCCAAAATAAACAAAAAAAAAAACTTCTAAAGGTGACGAAATTTAATTAATTCAAAAATAATTCTGCTTATCTTTTTAATAAAAAAAAATTACATCTCATTTCTGTTGTAACCAGATCTTTTTATCATATGTTTATATATTTAAAAATTTTGATGAAAATGTATTAAAAAATTCAGGGAATGTGTAATCATCATTATTTTAAATTAAAGTTTATAAAAATCAGAATTTTTAAAGTGCATTAAATATTAGAAAATTTAATTTAAAAATGAGCACAAGCTAGAGTGGGCTGAAAAGTGAAAATGCTTTGCCCAATCAGGTAGGGAATGATTTAAAGCCATTAAATATGGTATATTTGACATATTCACTCTGAGGTTCAATACAGTTAGCATGTAATTCTCAAGTTTTTTGTTAACCTTTAAAAAAAAAATTGTATACCCTCATCTTCCTTTGCTCTTTTTCTTATGATGCCACCTTCAATCAACACAAATTAGATTAATATTCTGCATAAACTATTTGGCTCTTCTGAATAGTTATTAAAATATATTCTTTATTCCAAAACCTTTCGTGCTGAGTTTTGAATTTATTTGGTCATGGAGAACTTTAATGTCACTGCATAGTCTGTTCTTAGTCTCTGAAATATAATAGCAGTATGTTTCATCAACAGTGTCAAGATGTTTCAAAAGAATTATAAGAGGATTTCTGAAAATGCTGCAAACTCAACTTGGAGGCAGTCGCTTATTATCAGTTTTAGTCTGTATTCAAATATTTTGGCACTCACTTACCTGACAGCTTCTGCATACCTAACTACTCATCAATTATAATTCCCTTGCTATTTCTAGATATTTTGTCTTAACCATTTTTTTTTCTTTTATTGAAATTTGTTGATTGGCCCAATTTTGATCATGTCAGGAACATTTGACACCACTGAAGACTTAAAACTGTGCTTCATCTGAAATCTCAATCTCCCCACTGGAAGTTGGCACATTACTACTTCACAGTTGAAATATCAGCCAATGTTTGCAACATATGCTCAATGATTTGCTTTGGAGTTTTCTATAGCAGGTTTAAATCATGCTGGCCTAGGGTTCAATACTTGAAATTTCCACACTTTCTGTTGACCTGATTCAGTTAATGACTGGAAACAAATTCAAAAATAAGCACAAGGATCTTGCAAATTGGCATTTTACATTATAAAAGAACACCCTTTCAAGTGACATTAGTAAAATAAATCTTGGATTTTAAGAAGTAGTAGCAGAAAGAACTTTTCAGTCCCACATAAATATTTTGTCTTCTAAATTTTAGATGTTATAGAGAGAAATATAAATTTTCTTTGTTGCTTTATGATATGAAAATGGAATTTTAAAATTATTTCTGTCCTTTATATATAAAACAAATAATGAAACTCAGCCCAATAAAAATAGATATTAATTTTCATAAACAATGATTAGCTCGTCTAAAGCATGCTCGTCTGAGAAATAACTTTGACTTTAGGGGAGGGGAGTAAATGTCTTTTTTCTCATCAATCAATGACCCAGCTGTAAAAGGTATTTTGATATTTGGTGTAACACATGTCTTTCTTGAAGACATTGAAACTATTGTCTTTTTAGGTCTTTTCTTGCTATCAGATGTTTCTTCTGCAAAAGTGTTTTGCATTGCTGATAGATTTATTATAAATATAATAGATAGCAAGATGGTGATGGGATAGAACACAGACAAATGAACATAAACAGTTTAATGCTCTTGTCACAAATATTTTATATTCATTTTTATTTATATACAGTTAAGCAACAAGTTTTTTTTCTCTTGTATAAAATAAAGAACAATTCATCCCTCCTACAAAATGTATTAAACTGGGTTCAAGCTGGATAAAGTTCTTGTTCAAATTAACTCCAAGTAATCCCTAATAAATTAAAAATATTTTAATATTTATTCACAAAATGAGCAAGAGATAATCTGTTAAAATAGTCGCCTTGAAACATTTAGCATTGGCTCAAACCGTTCTAATGATATGCTTTGTTCTCATCATTTTTTATCAAAACTAGTGAGTTTTCTGCTGTAATTTTAATCGATATTTTATTTTTATTTAACTTTAACCAACTTTGTACACTCACAATTATTTTCTTGAATTGCAAATAAAAAGAATACAAAGCTAGCTTTAGTCAGAATGGGGAGAAAGTAAAGAAGGGGTTTTTCATTGCACTTTGAATATTCATTCACAAATAACAATTCTATTGTGCTCAATATGTCAGCTGTTAAGTTGACATAATAGCTAACGCTAACAGACTTTATATAACAAACTACATTGACGTTTTCTTAAATGAAAATAAGTGGTGAGTTTTGACATTTTAGCCATAATAATACTCTTTAAAAATGTGAAGGCATTGACTTTTTAACTTCTACTTATTTTTGTATTAGATATATTGAGGTCTCGTTTAACACTTGATCTATGTTAACTTTTTTTTGATAATTGGTATTGTCTAGTCTGCTATCCTTATGTAAAATAGATGTTGGTATATTTTTATTTACATTATTTATATTCACACTAAAGTCTTCATCTGTTTTATTACGTTCTGGCACTACAGCCATCTTCAGGTGTCTGAACTGAACTCTTTATTTAATCTACAAGGATGAATTGTTCTTATTCTGCTGTCCATGTCTAGGAATATTTTTCTTTTCTTTCAGTGCTACTCTGTTATTGATCATCCTATTTCATCTGAGTCTATATTACCTTGTCTAGAGATTGAACTTGCAATTACTATGCCAATAAATTTATTAACCAACACTAATCTATTGTCCTGAAGGTATATTTTTGATATAGCTCTTTAAGGGCCATTCAGTGGCAGAGAAGCCTGAAAACATTCTTAGATACAGTTAGTGTATTTAATTTATCATATTTGTTAAAGTCAAATTTTATTGATTGTAGTTGAATTGTGATAAGTTCAAAAATTGTAAGGAATTGTTTTTCTAGAACCAAAGGAATAGTTATGGTTACAAAGATTAGGTGATATTTATTTGCTATTTTCATGAAAATCAAGTGTGGTTTTTTTTTTTTTTTGAGACCTGCTTTCATTTCATGTTTGGAACCTCTTTTTGCTGTTGCTGACAGATGTTTGGGGTCTGGTTTAAATAAGTTATTTTAACTAAAGAATTTTGAATTGAAGTTCATTTGAATAGAAATTTTGGACACTAGTATGGTTTCATAGGTGAATGTTGGAGAACATTTTTAGTTCAATTGCATTTTGATTTTGCAAACTGCTTGTTTTTAATGATAGTTTGCTTTTGGGATTTTTTGTTTTGTAATTTTAAGAACCTGTTTTGAATTGCATTTTAGATTTTTGGAGATGTTTGTGACTTGTTTTTAATGATATTTTTGCATGTTGAATGACCAAGTGTGAAGCATTTACAGTCTCTTGAAGGTTACAAAAATAGTATGTTACCCTAGCTTTAAAAATGGTAAGTTGATGTTTCTCTGAATAATTACTCAGACATTAAAGCAAGTGAACTAATTTATCCTTGAAATTTT